CAACCTTTAGCCCAGTCTGAGAGAGACTTCATTTTTATAATTAAAAGATTCTTTTGATAACCTTAAACAATAAATTGATATTAAGTAAATCATAAAGCTAATGAACATGTTAAACTTAATTGGTCTGAACTCACTCATTATCTACTTTTAGGACGCAACCGCAACTGGAGACTACATTCAGCATCGTGTATTACACCTTCTCCATCGGTATTCGCATTTACCTTCATCTCTAGTGATCAACAAGATAGATCTGGTCTCTCGACGAAGCGATTTGCTTGCGCTAACCCGTGTTCTTACTAATGGTCGTGTGGCCGGAAAACCCATACAAATACACGAGAAAACGGTATCCTTTATTTGTATGGTTTTGTTTTTTTTTTTTTGTTTTTTTTTTAATTTTCTTTATTTTGGTAGATGTGGTTTTAAGGGGATCAGTTTTTTGAATTGATGGCCTAGCATTCCGATGCAGTGGTTTCTTCAGATTCCTATTTTCAACTTGAGACGATTTGCACTTCTTCCAACAGGCGTCTTGCCCCATCTAACAAAAATATTTTGCTTGTAATATATTGAAGAGCGTTTCGGCCCCATGAATGATGTCACCCTTTCCTCCTTCAGGTTCTGAAACTCATTTTGAACCAATGTATGGAAATTCCATTTGCTCTGGTTAAACTGCATCTTTATTAGGTTGGTAAAAGGCAAGAAAAGCTTTTCTCAAATAAGTGTTTAGTGTTCTAAAAAGGAGGGAGCTCTATATCTCGATATGAGAGATTGAAACCCTTGCAAGAGTTTGGGACACATTTTAAAAGCAATAAGAACATTGAATAGATTTGAACCTCTGTCACGCCTATGAGTCCACCGCCCTACCAACTTCTTCACTGCTTCCTAACGTAACTTCCTGCTCGGTTCGGTTAATTTTAACGCAGTGGTATATCTTATGAGAAAAACGATTCCGTAGCTCTGTTCCCATAGGCGTTTCACAGTTTTGGCACGCAGGTATGAGAATAACGTCCGAAAACACGTACGTTGGTACGAGTCTAATGTTGAATGGCCACTGGGACCAAGCAGACTCCTAGTAAGTCCAAGGTTGTTGTTTTGGCATTCTTATCAAGCATTTCAGTTAGGCAGTTTGTAGACCCTTCTATATAGTTTTGTTTTGCGAGTACTAGTTACTCATGAGACAAGTAAACAGATCCATTATGTTTTTATTGTACGCCGATGTTTTCTCATGTCCCTGTTGATAAGTGCCCTTAGTGTGTGTGTGATGGACACTGCTTGGGCCCGGTTTGTTTTGGGCATCAGTATAAAGCGAAACAACGTCGTATCTTTCGTGTTCTGTGTGACATCAGATATATTCACTTGGTGCGAATGAGGATAATCCAGTGCTTCATTTTTTTTCAGCTCGGTCGTCTCGGAACGCCATCTCAGAATCTTACACTCCATGATGAGACCATCAAGATGCAGGATGAAGCATGGCAAGAACGGTTCAAGTATGCCTCACCAACCCCTTCCTCCTCTCTTT